ACAAACTCTTCTCTTCTTGTTGATTGTCCTTAATAAATAAATGGGGAGAGGTTGTTTCTTGTTGGTTGTGATTAGTAAACAAAGGGGCAGAGGTTGTAAAAACAATATTTGTCTATGTAGGAAATTTTGGAATGCGTAATTAGTTCGACGCCAAAATCTTTGTAAAATAGTTGTGAAATACTTTTATTTTGCATTCTCAAGTCAACTTCGTTAAGCTATTCACCAATGAATCCTTGTTTTTGGGAATGGTAATTAGTGTATAGGATAAACCAATACAAAGACAAAGTCAATTCCTTTATAAACAGCAACTTGTGTACTGGCAATTACTAACTGCAATAATAGAGATAATTGCGGATAATTCGTTTAATTACTAGCGTGGAATGGTATTTGCTGGCTAACTTTAAGTGTAAGTACGCAGTTTCTAATTTAAAGTCTGAAAGTAGATAGGTTTCTTTAATTAGAAGAGAATTTTGTAATATGAATTTTTTTTTAATTAAATAAGAACTTAAGTCAAATAAATATATGTAAGATAATTATAGTTTATTAATAAAATACAACAGGAAATTTAATTTTTCTCTCATGGTGTTAATAAATGTGGCACAAAAGACGGTAAAACCTTCTTATGGATACATTGATCTAACAACGTTCTTAATATATATCTTGTTTAGAAAAGTCTCAGTACTTAGTATTATAAGATAAAGTTAAAGTGAATATTTGCACGCATATGTAATACTCTTGTGATGGGGTTACCCATCGTCTAGAATGTGGAGAGGTTTATGTTTCAATGACACGGTGTCAATTGATAAATCTATGAGTATGTCTGACGGTCTGATCCACTATAGAGGTTTTCGAATTATTTTCAGCGTTATGTTCTGGCAAGTTTGTTTGTTTTTTATATTGGTTTAAGCTGTTATATTGTTTCCATATTAGCTGATATAGAGACATCAGATATCAGAGAGGAATAGAGATAGATTTCGCTGTTTATAGTGAATTTGTTGTAAACCATACAATTACAGAGCAGAGCGGGTAAACACCGTTGAAAGTTAAATTGCAAAAAAGAACTCAAGTTAAAAAATAGTACTATCATTACTAATATAAAATTTGTTTACATACTATATAATACTTTGTTAAAATAATTGCAAAATTTTATTGGTTGACACATGACTTGACATTTTGAGTTAATGTAATAAGTTATGAATTTTTAACGATATCGTACCGCGTTTATATTTGTTCAATTGAATTGCCAGGTACGAGACCACAACAAAAAGGTCAACAGAAAAATGTTCCTCAAATGTCGGCAATTTAAAATTTACGTGACTGGCAGTGAATGTAGAACCACAACCACATGAAATTTACTAACCGCTCCGCTCACAATGGCAACTCATTGGTTTCTAAAAGAACAAATACGGGGCTATGAGGGGCTATAAGGGGCAACAAGGGGCTATAAAAATAACATTTGTTGATATGAGATACCTTAGACTATGCAATTAGTTCGATGCCACAACGCTTGTAAAATATTTGCACAATTGCAAGGTAATTTTGAGTTGACTCAGTGAAGGCATGAAGCCGTGTATCCTTGTGCTGTGTCTTGTTTTCTGTGGAATGACAATCAGCATTTTACCCCCAATACTGCTATAAAGGGAAAATATCTTCATAAATGGCAATTAGTGCACTTGCAATTGGAGACTGCAATAGTAAAGATAATTGCAGGTAATTGCTTTAATTACTAGCGCAGAATGGCCTTTTATTGCGTGCGAACAATTTAGTTTTAAAGTCTAGAATTGCAGGTACCCGTAATTGGAAATAAGTTCATTGTAGTATTGACTTTTGTTAGGATCATTAAAGTTTTTTATTTTCAAAAGATAACCACAAATTATAATAAAGAAAAGCAATGCATAGGGTGTATTTTATGTAGTTAACAATTCACAAAAGTATTTAATATTAAACAGAGGTGTTTCCTATTGAAATCTCTGCTCGCGAATGTCTGAGACAAAGACAAATAGAGCGACAAAACAATACACATATATGACAGTCTAGCGGTTCATTAGCTTTAAACTCATTCAAATTTCATTTAATAATATTAAACAACCACTATCACTGCTTAATAAAATGGACCATAAAAACCCCTCGGGAAGTTCCGGAACATGAGTCAAAATAGGCGATGAAACAGCGGACTGTTTTGCCAAATGATAAGCCCAAACTCACTTATGTTAATTGGACCTGAGCACAGGTAAAGTGATAAATAGTAAAAAACGTAGGTAGTAGGAAAAATCATCATTTAGAAACTTCTAAATAAACTGTTAAAGTCAAACATAATGTGGAACATACATCAGCTCCTTTAAGCAAATCGCAGAAAGTACGTTAAAAGTCTCACTCAGTTATAACGCAAACAAAATGGCCTTTCCGAGACCACCATTTGCCACTATTGATGTTGAACGAATGGATGTTGAAACATCCAAACACATTTTTTGTAAATGCCGAAAACTGAGCAGTAACAGACTTTTCCATTTCGGACGCAAACATGTTTAAGCCGTAGTTTCAACAACTAGGGTTAGAACAATAGGACACCTGAGTCATGTTGTATAATATTAACGATTAACTAATGTAAATTTTACTTTTTATAAAGTAATTATAAGATATAAGGCGGGTCTTATGCCAAAAATTCAGTAAAGCCCTTAATGGTGTGGGAAGAATATTATTTTATTAGGAGACGATCAAGTCAAAGTTCGATCAAGTTTGATTATTTTATTAGCAGACGATCAAGTTCGAGTTTTTCATGCAATAATTGATACATTTTACAATGCAATAAATGTTAGGTTAGGGTGAAATGACAGCCCTGCGTGTCACAGTTTACTCCAGCGCAAATACGACCAGTTGTGATATTATAGATGAGACACTGTACATAGGCCAAAACTAAAAAGTCATCATAAAAGGACAGATAAACATCTAGTTCATAAACACTTTCGCTTCAAAAAAACACAACTGAGCTAATTTAAAAGGATGACAACGTTGTAAGTTAGTAAGAAAAGAGACCCTAAAGACTTTGAACATTTTTCTAGGTATAATCAAATTCACGAAAAAAAGTTGTTGCGGAGTGCAGCAAGTCTTTAAGCTTGTCTTGCTAAACTGCAGTTTTCTGTCAGCAGTGACACCATTGCACTGAGTTGATTTCACTTATTTGGAATAGTTGACTGGTTCAACTACTGTACAATTCAGATAAGGTATGTATTCTGATCTGAATCATAATCTATGCTCTGGGGTTTACTGCCAACCCCAAATATTTACTTTAATTGTCAATTTAGCTATTGCAAGGCAGAAAACGATATCCGAGAATCAAATAGCGGTGATCAGTGTGTCTACTCTAGGAAGGCTGTGTACTTTATGATTGTCTCTGTGTCCATATGTGTTATTTTTATTTAATATAATTTATATTTATTATTTTATTTAGTAATTCGATATACTATAGTATTATTTATGTTGCTACAGACTTGTGTGAAACAAAATAAATGTCTGTTATTTAGTATTTTATTTTTTTTAGTTTCCAGCCTTTAACAACATATATTTCATTGTTCAATAACTGTCTATGTAACAACA